CAATCAATCCTATTCCTACAATGCCATGGCTAAACATCTCATTCTCAATGAGAAGCCAACGAGATGGTTTTTCGCGAGGGCCAGGCGTATGAATTACAGCTTCATCGAGGCCCTGGAGGACGACCAAGGAGAGATACACACAGACTCGGAGGGTATCCTCAGGGTAGCAACTGACTACTACCGGAACCTTTACGACATAAAGCCTTCGGACGAGGGAGCCCGAAACGAAATCCTGCGGTGTATAACAGATCGGGTGAGCCCGGTAGATGCCACCAAAATGAAGGTCCCTATTGAAGCTCGAGAGGTACGGGCCGCTATTCGCCGGGCGTCCTTGGGAACCTCGCCAGGTGAAGACGGCCTTCCGAGCGAGTTCTATAAGGCCATCATGGGGCAAGAGAAGAAGAAAAAAGGGGAAACCCCGACCATCGTCGCCCGGTTGACCTCCTTCTACAACCAGATACAGCGGGAGCAGAAGCTCCCGGAGCATTGGACGGATGGGATCCTGACTATTCTTTTCAAAAACAAAGGGGAACAAACCGACATCAAGAATTATCGTCCCCTATCCATCATGAATGTAGATTACAAAATCTTCACGGATATTCTGATGCAACGCCTGGTGAAGGCTCTAGGCGGGGTGATTGGCGAACAACAATCGGCCTTCTTATCGAAGAGGCTAATAGACGATAATATCAAAACAATTCAGTATCTAATAGCTAAGTATAAACCCGCCGAGAAGCCGTCGTAGAAGTAAGGGGGAATCGCTATTCTCTTTCTCGACCAGGAAAAAGCATACGACCGAGTCAGCCATGAGTTTCTTCTAGCGATCCTAAAAGAACTAGGTGTACCCGAGGAATTCATCGCCTGGGTGCAGCTCATCTACAAGGAAGCTAAGATCAAGATTTACATCAATGGCCACACCGGAGAAACAATCATGGTACGGAGCGGCGTGAGACAGGGGGACCCCCTGAGCTGCCCCCTATTCGTGGCTGTAATCGAAGGCCTTGCCCGATACATCGCCCGCAACCCCCGAATCCCGGGGGTACAAGTGGGGAACAGGGTGCTGAAGACAACGATGTACGCCGATGACACGACAATCGTGGTACGATCCCAAGCAGAGGCAGACGCCGTGATGGCGGCCTTGAGGGTCTATTGCGCTGCAACCGGCGCGAGGATCAACTGGGACAAGTCATACATACTGCACGTGGGAAACATCGCCCACATCCACATTGCCGGTGCGAAGGAAATTTCCCCCGACAACCCCTACAAACACCTGGGGATACCGGTCGGGGTGGATATTGACCTCCAGTTAGATGATTTTTGGGCCAAAATCCTACAAAAGGCTAAGGGATCAGCACGAAACTGGTCGCGATTTCACTTATCCCTCAAGGGTAGAGTGATGATCGGAACCACCTTTATGATGTCCCTTCCCAGATTCGCCCTACGATTTCTACACATGCCCCCAGCGGTACGCGACGAGTTAGAAAAGGAGTACTACAAGTTGATATGGGACAACAAGGTCCGGGGCACCATCCGCGACCTCCACTCTTGTTGTCCGGTAAAAGAAGGTGGAGTCGGGGCAATTGACCTACGAGCCGTTGTCGACGGGAGCGTCGTGGCTATGGTCAGCAGAGCAGTCAACTCCCCCGAATCAGTGTGGGCCATCCTGGCCAAAGACATCCTGGCGTCATGCGCCCGAAGCCCCCCATACGCCCCAGCGTTCACTAACCCTTGGGTGACCCGATTCTCCAATCAGCTCGACCACATCCCGGAGCCAATACGGGCTACCTGGCAGCGATGGAAAAAGATATCTACACAAATCCTCAAAGTCAAACCCCCCAAACCACCACGGAACTATTGGCGACGCCAGTATTCTACCACCCGTTATTGGGGAAAGGCGGCTCAGGGGATGTGAAAAAGTTCAACTCCGAGATCTGGCGAGCCCTATGGGACGGGGGTGCCAGAGTCTTAGGAGACATATGGGACCCGGCACACGCGGTCCCTATAGTCCCAGCTGGAACGGTGTGTAGCAAGCACCCTTCCCAGATCGGCTATGCCATTGGCAGGCTGATCCCCAACGCCATCCCACCAAACTGGCGCCCACTGCTCTCGGCCCCACACACGTGGAGGCCAGGTATGCTCCGGCAGGAATACTTCATAGAGGTCAACGATCGCCTCGTCCCTCTGCCGGAGGTCAGCTTTCGACAAGCCTACCTTGTGATCTTAGGCGAGAGACTGAAAGCCACCAATTTTAGCGATAGAATTGAAGGCCCCATCCTCGCCTATCAGCGCCGCTGCGGACTGAGAGTCCCGGCGGACAGGATATGGGCTGCGGCCCGCAATAAGTTTGGGACGCCGCGTATAGGGGACCTCCTCTGGCGGTTACTCCATAGGAAGGTTCGGTCAGGGACTGATCTTACTTGGGTACCGGTGCAACAACAGTTGTGCCCTATTCACAGCATCAATCAGTCCTTGCCTCACATATGGATCGAGTGCACAGTGTCGAAAGCGGTATGGGAAGAGTTCTCCATCATTTTGGGCCGACTAACCCCCAACCCGATACCCGAAACAAGGACCATCAACGAGATGATCGCGTTTATGGCACTCAGCCCCAACCTGAGGGGTGTTGATAAGAGACGGTGGGACATTCTCTACCAGGCTACCATTTGGTCCCTATGGAAATGTCACCTATCACACAGTTTCAGCGACCCAGTCATGTACTAGTCCCCAGATACCGTCCGGAGTTACTACCGAACCCTGGTTCGGAAGTAAATCCTCACAGATCGGGTTTTATGCCTCTATAAGAGATATCAAATCAAGGAGTACAACGTATAGGTGTTTAAGAACCTTTAGGGCGAGTTCCCCGATCGAATAAAGGTTCGTAAGGGCCCTACTTATATAATATCTAACTCCCCCGCGATAATAAATTAGGCCGAGCGTAGGGTAGTAGAGGTAATTAAGAAGTCGGATGATATTACGAAGGATTAGAATATAGATATTAGCGATGCCAGCGATTGGGATGAGTTGGCGGGCCCAAACCTGCCATTTAGATAGTTTTTCTGATTTTTTGTTGTTTACACTCTTTTGTCTCTGATTTTATTAATTTAGCGTTGATTTGGTGGAGTTACTCGGTATGGTCTCCCTCTATAAAGACCTTCGCGCGGTACTCTGTATATACTCGGGCGAGAGTGGTTTACGGGTTCGAGTCCCGGTAGATTTCCAGGTGGGGCACCTCCGTCAAGGCGGCTACCTCAGCTAAACAGCCGAATAAAATAAACAACTTTCAAATCAACCGTCTAGATTTTTTTATTTTGGAGCGGGAGTCCACACCGTGACTCCCCCCATCGGCTGTTCGAACCTCTATACGGGGGCGGCCGAAGGGGGGGCTTGGGGGGGTGCGGGGAGGTCTCTAAGGAGATTTCTGCCCGGTACCTTTCGAGCGCCCGGGTAGGGGCGAGGCCCTCTGCCCAAGTAGAAGTCCCAGGCCGCCTCCGAATCGATCGCCAGGCGTGAGCGCCGGGTAAGTATAGTGAAAAAGGACGCTGGAAAACCGTGCCCTTGGCTACTCCTCGGTTTTCCTCTCTTTCTTCCTCTCTTTTTCCCCCTCCCCTTTTTTCCCTTTTCTTTTTCCCTTTTCTTTTCCCTTTTCTCTTT